TTTGCAATGTTAATAATTTTTGTTCGAAATTATAGCATTTTACTATGGAGCTTCGTGATTGTTACACGAAAAACTTACTTATTCAATTTCCATATAGGACTATATATAGATTTGATCTACATAGCGATAGTACACTGGATACCCCAACGTATCGTCTGCTGAATCATTATTATTGATATTTATTTCGTTACGTCTTTTTCTTTTTTTTCGCTTTTATCAATTTATTCAAATCTGCAAGTGATTCTTCATATTTATTCATCATTAAATAAGTTTCTCCACGATTACTTAATGCAAAAGTTTGAACACCAGAAAGACTTATCAGCACCTACAAACGACGCGATTATTCCGATTGGTCAGCGATATATAATCGCATCACGGGAGAGTTATCGTTATTCGGACTGATCCTGAAGGGTATTTAAATTATTTATACAGGGTAAACTAAACGTGACACGTAAGATTATAATGATCTGTTATTTTTAAAAGGACCCGCCTCCCCTTAAAAAAACACGTGTTTTCTGGCCCTCCCCCAACTGGTTCAGTTGGCAAAGCTGCTAATCTCAGAAAAACAATGTTAACTATTAGACTCGAGAAGTAGTATTGAATAACTAGCTATTAAACAATACCGACAATTCAATTTTATTTTCGTCTCTTTTTTATTTTATAAAAGATTTCTAATTCGTTGGTATCTTTTACAATAAAAAAAAAAGGTTTAAAATATATCAAAAACAACTAAAAAATTTTTTTTACTAAACTTATTAAGATTGCAATTTAAAAGATTAATAAGTTGTATTTCTTTAACGAATCATATATTATTTAATAAATTTTGATGTATACAAGTTCACCATTTCTTTTCGATAAATTTTATCACAGTTTCAACAGCTTTTTCAAGATTTTCACCAAAAATTTCTTCATGGTTCGAGTCAAAAGCCACTATATCTTCAATGACCATCAATTCACTTTTTTCACCATTTATCAAATTGGAAGATTGTCCTTTAAGGGATAAATGTTTGTGAAATTTAATATAATTCGGCCAAACAATTTTATCAAAATATTCTGGTGGGTCTTCGTAATATCCTTGTTTAGAGGAAATAGGTTAAAGACAGTATTGTAAAATTAAAATCCGAGAAAAAAAAAAAAAGAATCATAATAGATAAGTAAAGAATACCTTCAACTGTAACATACGAAATCCGTTCTTCTCTTCGTTTCTTTATAATTTCACGATCAGCCTTGACAAAAAATTTAACATCTAATTCTTTTATAATTTCAGGGTCATAGTAAAGTAAAAATCCATCTACCAATACGAAATCCCATTCAATATTTTTATTATCACACCCTGCTGATGCACTTAATACTTCATTAATTCGCAAGGAAAGTCGTTTAACCAGCTCATTTAATTCATCTCTTTCAATATCTTTATAAACATTATTTACTTCATTAGATACGAATGTTGTTGGTAATGTGCCGACTTGATGGAGATTTTTTAGGGTAGATAAAAATAATGGAAAGTTTATTGCGTCAGGACAATCCCAATCAGTATAATTTGTTATTGGATCAATTGGAAGATCCTTTTCAAGCTATTTCGAAAATAAATAAAAAATAGATATATATTAAAAATAAATTAAAAATAAATTAAAATTTAAATTTGAAATGAAAATCGAATTAAAATAGAATGAAAAACAATAACCTTAAAAAAATCGTCTTGATAAAATAAAGTACAATTCGGTAGAATTTTTAAAAGCCATTTAGCCAAAGTCTTTATTTAAAAAAATATAACAAAATCATGTAAGTAGTCAAATCACTTTAAACTTTCTCGTTCTAGACTTAAATTTTTTTTATGTAATTTTACATACCGTTTTTCCAGAACATGATGCACCACTACAGAATTATAAATAATTTTAGACAAATAATATATTATTAATAAACAATCTAACCAATTCACTTTCATAAAAAAAAAGTTTACCCTATACCGATCGTAATCACCCTCTTTGAAGACATTTCTTCATAGAAAGGAAAACAATATGCAAGTACGTAGAAAACCTAATACTGTATTGGTATTTTGGGGACAAAGGCTTAGTTCGGAATTGAAGCATAAAAAACATGCAGTTATTGTCATACAAATAAATGACATTTGTGTAGATCACACTAATTTTATTCTCGTTTAATGTATGCCATGTGACAAAGTACAATTACACTACTGTGCATATATGCATATCAGGTCAAAAAAAGTATTTAGCCACCGGTTCACTAGTATCTTTTTTCCACAAACTTGAAAAAAATTTTTTTTCATCCATTTTGTAATATAATTTTGGAAAGTCTTTAAATTATTTATTATTATGTCAGCTGAGACTGACGTTGGTGGGGCTGGAGCGGCCGCGAGCCAAGCAGCAAATGCTATTAGTGCGTTCGCAGCCTTTCTTCCTTGGTTCGATTCGGTTAATAGAGTAGTCGAAGAAATTTTAAGTGTTTATGAAGCAGCTGAATATAATAAAAGAACATGTCGTGTTCTAGTTGATCGTGTAGAAAATGTTGCTACAGCTGTTAGAAAATTAAATCGTAGAAGAGAAGATGAAAAAGAAAAATTTCATAATTGTGATTACTTAAAAACATTTATAAAACTTCATAAAGTTTTAAAAAATATTAAAGAATTTATTAATAACGTTTCTCAACTTAAAGGCCTTTCAAAATTTCTTTATGCTAAAGATATAAAAGCAAAATGTCTTGCTTTAATAGAGGAATTAGAAACTACTTGTCGTGATTTACAATTTGGTATTGTTGTATCAATGGAGGATAGAAATCTTGAAGAAAAAAGTTTATCTGAAGATGTGGTTAAAATGACTGAGGTGTGTATATAACTGTGTATAGTGTGTGTATAATGTGTATGAAATTTATGAAAATAACAATCAAATTTATATATTCAAATAATAATAGTTTCTTAAAACAATCGAAGGTGGCGTTATAGATGCGAATAATCAGCTTAAAGAAAATAATGAAATACTTTGTAACGTACATACTGACGTTGGAACTGTTAAAGAGCATACTGATGAAATTAAGATAAAACTTAATGCAATTTTTGAAGAAGTTATTGAAATTAAAAAGAAAGTATATAAAAGGGAAATTTCTTTAGGTGCTCCTCATATTGATATTAATTGTTTAGAAGAGGTTATTGAACGAAATTCATTAATAGAAAGAAAAATTTTTAAACGTTTATATAATGGAATTGAAGTTGCTTGTAAACGTATTACTATTCCAAATGATGATGAAAAATGGAAAATGACTAAAAATCGTTTTGCAATTTTAAGTAGATTACAACAATCTGATAAAATAATTAAATTTTATGGTTTTTCAAAATATGATAATGGTGAATATCTTATCGTATTTGAATGGGCTAAATATGGAAATTTAAGAGAACTCTATGAAAGAGTAGATATTCCTTGGAAATATAAAATTAAAATTGCTCATGACATTTGCTGTGGTCTTGTCTTTTTGCAGGGTTGTGATATTTTTCACCATGATGTACGATGTGAAAACGTAATGGTATGCTATAAATTAAAAATTAATAAAAAAATTTGTTATTTTATTTTATTATTCATAAAATTTCTTATTCAACTATTTTATATCATTATCTATAGATTACAGATAATGATGGTTACAATGCGAAACTTGCAAATTTTGATCTTAGTCGACAAAGAAATGAAAATAGTATTAAAATTGTAAGCATTAGTGAAATAATTCCTTGGTTGGCGCCTGAAAAAATGGGTTCTGATCCGAGTACGAATAGTAATGCGAATAATAAAAAAGAAAATCCCTATACATTTAAATGCGAAGTATTTAGGTATGTATCACTTAATTTACATGTTTTAAGTCATTATACAGGTTATACAAATTACTTAATCATGATTTATCTTTAATAGTTATGGTATGCTTTTATGGGAGCTCGCTTTCCAACAGATACCATATAAAAATATGGACACAATGTACATATGTGAGCATGTCAAGGCCGGTAAAAGAGAACATTTTAATTTCACTGGCAAATATGCTGGACTTAAAGAAGTTATCGCCGGATATTCAAAGATAATTATAGCGGGTAAATAATTAATTTTTCTAATTTATATATATTTCTATATTAAAAATATTATTAATTATTTTATGACTAACATTATATCAATTACACTAGCTTGGGCACATGAACCAGCTGAACGACCAAGTATTAATGTTTTTAACTTTGAACTTAAAAAATTAAATGGATTAATAAATTCTGTAGAGGAATCTAATCATAGTGAAGATATAACTGATGATGAAGGTGGTCCATTCGTGAGTGATGATATCCCTTCCCTTATTCCTCCGTTAGAAGATGGTCTTAGGGCGCACAGGGATAAGTCAAAGAGAGAAAAGGCATGGGAATGCTTTGAAATTCATGCTGAACTTGGTGATCCTGTTGCCAAGTATTGGAAAGGTTATTATTTAAAAGAAGGTTATCATAGAGGTGTGAAGGATCCTGTAGAAGCAGTAAGACTTTTTAAGGAAGCTGCTGATGAAAACGTTCCAGATGCTCAACTTCATTATGCATTTGCAATGTTGGAAGCTAATAACGTTAAAGAGTTTCTGTCTTACTTGAATAAAGCTGTTATTAATGGCAATCCTTCCGCATTATTTAATTATGGTGATTTATTCTTGAACGGAAAACTTGGTATTAAAAAAGATGAAGAAAAAGGACTACGGTATTTGAAGATGGCTGCTGTGAAGGGTCAACCTAAAGCACTAGAAGAACTTAAAAAACGCAGTATTAGCCTATAAATTCTTGTAGTACACATTTGTTTTATTTATAGGCATATTTTTTTCCTTACATTATATGGGCGGGTGGTCTAATCATATCAATTATTTATATAATATTAGGTCTAAATCGCAAAAACTTTTAATCGCTTCACAGCGAATTTATGAAAATTATGCTAAAAATTCGATCGTCAAAATTCAAAGTTTAGAATCATTCAATGCTAAACTATAAAAAATTTTGGTTCTTTTTATATGTTAAAATTTAAATGCAAAAAAAAAAAAAAGAAAAAAAATACATATATATATATAGTTTTTTTGATAAGATTATATTTAATCCATACTTTATCATAAAAATACAATTATTTAAAGAAATTTCCCATTTTTGAAAATTTTGGAATCATTTTAAGCATGCTTCAATTTTATGCAAGTAACGATAAAAATCTCTTAGTTATTACTGCATTTAACAATAAAAATCCTCTTACATGCAATTTAGAAAAGTAAGCATGGTAAGGAAGAGCAAATCAAAGCATCAAAACAATAGAAATTTCAGAATTAAAAAAATTAAAAAGCGAGAGTCTAATTTCATTTGTTTTCAAATAAGGTAAATAAGGTTGAACGATTTTTATTTCGCTTTCTAACAAATTTGAACTAATTGAAATTTGGAGTGTGATGAATCATTGAATCATTAATCATTGAATCATTGGACGTTACTAATAATATTAGTTGGTGCTTATTCGTCACGTCTCTTGCCAAATAGAATGGTCGCCTATTATAGACTTAATTTTTATTTCGTAAAATGAGACATTTTCCGATTTCAAATTTTTATATACAAATAAAAGATTTTTTAAACTCAATTATTTCCAAGATAAGCTATTTTTTAAATTCTGAAACCCTCCCTATTGTTTTACTTTTTTTTCTCGGTTTTTATTTATAATTCTGTTATTTTTTTTAACGCTTATTCCTGACCTCAAATTCGGGTAAATTCGGAGTCTTGACATTTTTAACTACATATTTATAAACCAGCTTAAGGAAAAAGAAAAAGAAAGAAATCTTGTGATTATGTATAATGCTAACAAATAGTATAGATGTATAATAATAAGGACCTGAGAATAAATCATTATCCCGAAGTGACAACAACATACTAATGTAATAACTTTAGTTAATATTTTGTATAGACAATATACGAATCTCTAAAACTATAAAGCCATTTTCTCAAAAAGAGACTGAATCAGACCTTTTTAAACAGTAATTTAAAATTTGCTCACATTTAAAGTTTAAATAAATCGTACATGATGGTATTTGATGAATAACATTTTAAAAGACGTCGTGATAATGGAAAATGTTGAAATTGTAACCGGTATAATACTTCAGAAGCATGGTGCCAAACATGTGACACTCAAATAACAGCTCAGGGATGGATAAGCGGAGATGAAAAAATTGATGATTACATTAAATAATTTCAACTTAAAGCCACCAAGTATGAGAATGTAATCGAATGTACCCTTTTAACATATTAAATAATGTCCAAATAATAAAAAAAGATGAATCTAGTTCAACATTTTTAGCAACATGGTTAGTATGGTTTGGGGTCATATCCGGTATACTATTGGGAGTTAAAAATCTTAGAGTTAATAAGCTAAAGGGTGGTCCAGTTGTTAAAATACTGTTGGATATAGGATTTAATAGCTATGGAGTCAGTAATAATATCATTGTTGAGTTAGATATTTTGAAATTTAACTAAATCTTTGTGTTTGTTAAGGATACTATTGATCATAGAGGTAGGGTGAGTTTGGAGTTTAGAACATTTTTTATCAATTGTGACATTAATTTGTTGTCTAATTTCTTTGATGTTCTCTATGTTAAGAGCATGATAGAGTTTTTTTTACTCAGAGTTAGCCAGTAATCCAAGGAGTGAGAAATTGGTATATTAGGAAAAGTATAGAAATATTTAGATTAAGAAATTGATTAAGAAAAAAAATAGAGGTATTAAGATGTGTCAGAATAGGAGTGTAGTATTTTTGGTTTGTCAGATAATATTGCCAAGTTTTTTAAGACTAGAATGTAAATGAGTAGTATTGGAAGAAAATATATGTTAAAAGTTACAAACAGTAAATTTTTTATTGGGTATGTGTTTAAGAGTGGTAGTGATTATGCTATTATGAATTTTGTGCTAAGTAGTTTCAAGAGATTTTGCAGTATTAGTTGAGAAGTGTTTATAGTTGGAGTGAAGGTTGGTGCTGACTTGGTTGAAAAATTCTTTCTATAGTATAGTATTCATAGCTTTGTAGTTCAAGATTCTTTGACATACGCATGTTTTATATCTATATTAGCCATGTAAAGCATGGAAAAAAAACCAGCAAGAGATAAGAATTTTATGGTCACTGAGTAAGCTATTGTATGTATTATTGGTATTAAAGGAAATAAGATAGGTTAATATCATATGGTAGGCCCAGATGAAGTTAATTTCACTACTGTATTTAGAGCTGCACTATGTAGGAGAAGAAGAGTTAGTATGTGTAGCCAAGTTATACATATTGTTATAAATAAGAAATTGAAGAAGTTTGAATTTAATAGATGATAAGTAGGCATTGTCAGTGAAGGCATTAAAGTCTCTAAGAATAATGGAAAGTAGATTAAGAGTATAGGTTTCTTGAAGCTATTGAATAGTTGTATCTTGGATTTGAAGTTAAGTAGAAGAGTTATTGCTAAGAAAATGATACAGAATTTGAAGTCATATTTAAAAAACAGGTTGATTAAAATTTCATAGCCAGGAATATAAGAGATATTGTGAATATAAGAAGTTAGAAAGTCAATACAGGACCAAAAGTAAGTATAGTGTTGTGTTTTGAGAAGTTTGAGATAAAGTTATTACTAGCTAGTTTAGTTTTAGAGAGACAAATAATATCTAGATTGTTGGATAGACAATAGTGTTTTCAGATTTGTTTTTTGAGGTTTTGGTTAAAACCTTAGATATTATATGCACATATAGAGAGGTTAAGATAACTAGAAGAGATAAGATGTTGTGTTTGAGACTTTAATAAGATGTTAGAATTTGCAAAGATAGCACTTTGATAAGATATAATTTCATAGTTAGGAAGTGGGCAGGGCTCCTGTAGTGCATAGATATATGCTTTACTATAGTTAGATTTAATAGAAATTATAAGTTGGTCTTGTAAATCATTCTAAAGGCTGTTTAATTAGATGGAGAAGAAATAAGTTAATTGTTTGGGAAGATTAAAGGAATTTGTTAAAGCAGATTAAAAGGTTAAAGGGGTTTGAAAAAGTTAAAAATAATACCTTTAGGTTGTCTTTTACAAGAGCATTTACTGTATATCTGGCTTTTAAGTTTTGCAAGAAGTAGCAGTACTCAGATTGTGTATTAGGGTACTGTGTTTATTTACTTCTTCTAGGTAAATAGGCTTATCCAACTGCCTACTTATATTATTTTTTTTATTAACTACAATGGATATATCTTTTAATAAAGTGGTGGCTGCATCTATATTGTTTGTAAAAGACAAGTTTATAGAAAAGAATAATCTAGAAATAATGATTCAAGATTGGTAATAGGTTGAAAGTTAATATTAAATTTTTCTTTTAAGTATTTATTTGCTTTAGAGTAAGCAGTATCTTTATAGTATTTAATAGTTTGTAAGAAGGTATAGGATTGGTTTTTAATACAATCGAAGTAGATTATGATTCAAGCAAGGAAATAGGTATCAATGATGGAAGGTGTGGCTCGAGAAATAACTTCTTGTTTGGAATTGTTAAGGATATTATAGTTTTCTAATACAATTTAGTAGTAGAGAGCTAGATATTTGAAGAAATAAACTCTGCAACAGTTTGGGCTAAAAGTAATATTATTAAGTTTGCAGGCTACTTCTTCTGCTTGTTTAGCTAAGTCTTCATGTAGTTTGGTAGATATAGTTGTTTTGAGAGTGGCTTCATATTTTGTATCAATAAAGAAGATAGATAAGTCAAGTTGGAGTTCTTTAAGAATTCAAATTCTTTTTCAGAGAAGAAAGTATATAATTTTTAAAGAATATCATTATATAGTTGGTCTTGATTATAGATGAATTTTTTGTTTAAGTATTTACAGTCTTTGTTGTTGCAGGTTAGAATATGAAAGTTGGTGGCTTTGGTAGCTTCAAGTTGGTATTGAAGTGGTTTGTGGAGTTCTTGAAATTCAAAATTTGATAGTAGAAGGTTTTGAAGTTCAACAAATTGCCAGTAAATTTTGCTTTTGAGGAGTAAGTATGTTTTTTTTTTATTTAATGAAGTATCAAATTGGTGAGCATAGGTTGAAAAGAATCTGTTAAACCAATTTTTGTAAGTGTTTAAAAAGTTGGTTATAGGTGAAGTGCAGTAGTTTTGTAAAAAAAAATTTTTGAGAATATTGAATAAAAGATGGATATTGAATCGGGAATCAAATTTGATTTTAAAATAGAGTTTGTCTTCATTAAAGCTTTCAATCGAAGATTTGACTTTAGAATATTTAGATCTAAAGTCAAAGTTTTTAGTGAATTTTTTATAGTTTATAATTTGGTAGTTGTTTGATATAGTTGTGCAATATTTAAGCAAAGTTGAAGATGGTTTTGGGCTTTATATAGTGGGACTATGACAGGTAAGGTAAAGATTTCTTTGTAGTTTAGTTTAGCAAAAAGGATAGTAGTAAAGTATAAGATAATTGTTCTAAGGGTGGCTTCAAGATAAGTAAATAGAATAGTATCATTGGGGTTAATATTAGAGTTGTATTTGAAGATGATATTTGTTAAAAATTGTGGCTAGAATCTAACTATAAATTGGAGAAGATATTTAAAAGAAGTATTATAGGGGTTGTATATCAGAATTCTGATACACAAAATTCTGACACACAAAATCCTGGCAACAAAATCCTGATACACAAAATCCCAACAAATTAAAATCTTAAAAATATTAAAATTAGGAATTTAATTTGTCAGGATTTTGTGTATTGGGATTTTGTTGTCGGGATTTTGTGTGTTGGGATTTTGTGTGTCGGGATTCTA